GCCAGAGCCTCTGCCCAAATCGGCGCTCCATATAGAGCAACCGAGTTCAATACCCCAGCATGGAGGCGACGGGCCTTCCAATCCGGTCCCCCGACGTGGGGCATTATCCTGCCTAAGTTGGCTGAGATCACTCTCAGCCGGGGAACCAGACGGTTCACATGTTCTTTGAAGCACCAGGTGCTGTGAGGACCTTCATATTTTTTCTTTTTTTGACGAGGAGGGAATCCTCATGGATACCCCCCACCTTCGGGGAAGGTGGGAGGTTATGCTGGACTCTTACCGACTAAACCCTCCCCAGGTAACGCTACGAAGGGACCTGGTAGGGGGGGGGTCGGGGCCAACATAACTGCTCATCGGCCTCCCGTGTCCAGACGGTTTCCCGCCGTCTTGTCCCCGAGTGATGGGGGGAGAGGGGAAGCGACCCGGAGAAATCGCAAGCCCGAGTCATCTTCAACCACCGCTCTCCTGGACCCAACCCCTCACACCCTATACATCGAGAAGGGGGAAGCATACGATTTGAGCCCAGATAGGCTGTCACCGCTGAACAACAGTACCGCTTCGAACTCCGTTCTCAGTGTACAGGGCGCCGTCCTGTGATGTTTGGCGGCCAGGTGGGCCACCATCACCTAGCCACCCCAGCGTTTGGAGGGCTGGCTGGGACCCAAGTTCCCCGCCCTGGGTCCCACCCTCCGCCCTGACGGTTACAGGGAGACAAGTTCCCCCAACCAACCGTCAGGGACACTCACCTGAGAGAGTGTGTGTACTGGGGATCCAACGGATCCCCACTCTCTCAGGCTAAAAGGAGAGGAGATTTACATCAATGACAAGATAGTCACCATGCATCCCCCGCCTCCTATCAACTCATCCAGTCTCTCTAGTGAGAGACTGGTAATAAAATTTTGGGGGGGCGATGGACTGCCCCCCGGCCCACCGCCTCAGTTACTCCAAGGCGGATTTGGGCGAGTGGGGGAGAGGGTGAAAATCTTATCCACTCCCCCTATTTTTGTGGTCAGTGCACCCGACTGTTGCCAGTCGGGTATCAGCGACCCCTCCCCATGCTTCCTCTCATCCGCCGACTGCGGATGGGGGAGGGATATGTAGGGAGGCGTTATCGGCACCACCACGTTCTCCCCCAGTGGGGGGTAGCCGCGGCGACGCTCCACGTCTTATGCCGCCCCACTTTGTTGCGAGCCAACAGGAAGTTCCTGCCATCCTGTGGCCCGCATCCCATCCCTTTTCCAGGCAAACCATGCATCTTGGCGTTTCCACGCACTGCTGCGCAGTGTGCCCCCCCCCCGGCCACACCGGCAGCACAACCCGCTGCGGTCAATCGCAGCGGGACAGTTCCACCTGGTGTGGCCGAGGCCCCAACATTTGTAGCACTAGGGTGGCCTGCTTGTCAGCATCGTAATACTGACATTTGACCACCCCAGTGCAAACGACCCTTCCCTTGCGGCCTTCATCGTGGCTGCCAAAAGGAGACGGGCCCATGCCGCCCCTCGCCCTCTATTCCCCCACCTAAGTGGGCCAACCTGTATGGTCCCAGCGGCGCAATCAGCGCTTGACGCCAGGGCCTCCCGCAACTGCTCAGGGGAGACCGCCTCACTGAAACCAGTGAGACGGACCTCCCCCTTCTGCTCAGGGCGACCCCGGTAGCACCTCCCTTAGCTTTGCGGCTAATAAGTCCGTCTTTCTCCCCCTGGGTCCGGGTCCCGGACGCAAATGATTAACGCATCATTTAAACTCCTCCCGACATCCACACCCGGGATTCCGAGGGTCCCAAGGGGGATTTCTGCCGTTGCTCACCTAGGGGCCTCCGCATAGGAGGCCCCTGGCGACAGCCGCACGGAGACCACGGCTGTTTCAAATAGCCGCGGTCATTCTCATCCTCTTATCCGGGAGGATTGGAGGGGGGTTCATCCCCTCTCCTCTCCCTCCCCTGTCTCTACCTCTCCTCTTCTCTATCCTTGATAGCAGGGAGTGATTTGGAGGGGGGTGAACCCTCCCCTTTCCTCCCAATTCTGCTTCCCTTCCCGAGGCTGTTTGCGGGGATGCCAGGCCCTATTGGCCGCCAGTTCATCTCCCGCAGCTGCCTCTCCCTCTCCCTTCTTCCTCTTCCTCTTCCAATGGTCCACTGTCGTCCAAACCCCTTCGACACGGGGGGCGACAGGGACCACTGCTCTCTTTCCCGGGATTGAAGAGGGGGTCTTTCCGTCTGTGTGGAGACTGTGAACTTCACAGTCTCCTCCTCGTCCCCCTTCCCCAATTCCATCTCCTCTTGCCCTTCTTCCGCTTGGGTTGAGACAGTTGCGGTCTGTCTCGAACCCAATCTCTCCTCTTCCTTCTCCTCCGTCTGCACCGAGGCTTCACTCGCCCGGGGTCTAGGTGTGACGGTGGCCACCATCCTGACCATCCTTTCCTCTTCCTCTCCTCCAGTTCCAGCCGGCACTGAGCCAATTGACTCTTAATGAGCCTGAGCTCTTCCTCTGCCGCCTAGCCAGAGGCGATTTCCTTCTACATCCTATCCTCCTTTTCCTTCATCCTGTCCTCCCTTTCTTCCCCTTCCCAGACCTTGGTAGCCATCTTCATCGCCAATTGCTGGCTCACCCTTAGGTGTCTTCTTAAGTCTGCCCTCTCTCTCCACATCACCTCATGGGAGCATCGCAGCTTCCACGCGTACTGTCTGAATTGTCCGCAAACTGCGACGATTTTCTCCAGCGTGTACCACCTCTCCATTTTGTATAGACTTCGTGCAAGTAGCCTTTACTTTTAAAAGCTGGTCATCCCATTTTCCCCACGAAGTTTGGCTGTAGATGGAATCTTCCGGGATGGTCGGATCCTCCTCCAATAAAATCGTGGAGCAGGTTGACGTCTCCGACGACGACGAGCCCTCCTCCTCCTCCATCTCCTCCCTCCTCCTCATCCTCTTCTTTTTCGCTTTTTTAAATTCTGAACTATCCATTGAGTTTGACACCCACAATTCCTGGCGGCTCGACGGACCAGGCATGCCCGCACCGGCAGAGACGTGACCTACCGATGTCCCCGAGTTCCTCTGGAGAGTCCGTCCATTCCTCTGGCCCGGGGAGAGGCATCCCGGGCACGGGGATCCAGCCCCCTACTACAGTCCCACTCCCCATTGCCGGGGGGTGAGCCGGTTTCAGGGGCCCCCGGCCTCCGACCTCCAGGGTACCGCCAGGAGCGCCACCACGCGGGGGGCCCCGTGGAAGGAGTTAGGTCACCGCAATCGCACCCTCCGGGACCCACGGCAGCCAGCAAAACCTCGCCGCCCGAAGGACGGGTTTTGGGATGTTGCGATCCCCATCCCTCGGGCTCACGCAAGGGGACCCGGCCCCGACCTCGGAATACGTCCGAGTGGCCCGGATCACCCTCACCACCCCGGGTACCGTGAGGGGTCCCAAATCCTCACGGTATGCAGACCTAGGTGTGACCCGTCCCGTCGGGCTACCAGAGCACCGGCGTGCAATGCCCTCAGGGACGGTCACCCCAGGGTGGGGTCCTGTCCCTCCGACGCCGGGGCACCGGCGTGCAATGTCGGGAAGGGAGGGGTCCCCACTCTAGAATTTCCATCAAAAGGGGTCTGATGAAGAGGATATCACCCCTTTCGGCTGCCGGAACATCAGCGTGCAATGCCTCCAGGGGTGAATAGCTCCTCCCACCAGATCCTGATGGCCTTCCTGGAAATCCAGGTCGGCCTCCTTCCTGGGTTCGACGCTCTTAGTCTGGCCCCTCAGTACAGACCACTCCGGCATGGTAGAACCTGCCAGGGGTCGAAACCCCCGCCGGCACAGCTCTGTACATCATCGGGACATGCAAGCTCCTCGACCACGTTAAGGTGGCGTCTACGGTGGAGGGACCTTCATATTTTTTTTGACGAGGAGGAAATCCATCATGGATACCCTGACCCTTGGGGAAGGGCCAGGGTTATGCCTGACTCCTATCGGCTAAAACCTCCCCGGGTGACGCTGCGAAGGGACTTGGATCGGGACCTACGTAACTGCAATCGGGGCCCCGAGTCCAGATAGACTCATCGTCTTCCCGGAAGGGTGGGACGGGGAGGGGGGAAGCGAGCCAAGGGCTCATCTTCGACCGCCGCTCCTCAGGGAGAATGGGGAAGCGTGTCGAAGCTCGCTTCAACCGCTGTTCCCCCCTTTCCACCCCTCATGCCCCATCTCTATGGCTGGGAAGGAGGAAGCCGGCCAAAGGGCCTGCGCTTCTACCACCGTTCTCAGCCAGGCAGGGCGCCGCTCATGTACTGTTGTGCGACCGGTTGATCCACCTTCTCAACCGGCCGCCCTGCGTTGGGAGGGCTGGTTGGAGTACTGGGAGTCCCCGCTCAATACCCCACCCTTCCGCCTGGCGGTTACGGGGGGAATAATTTAATCCCCTAGCCGCCGGGCACTCCCATCTCTTGTGTAGAGGTGGAAAAGGGTCAACAACCCCTTCCTTCACGCCTACCTGCTGTGGGCCTCAATGGGGGGAAGAGGTTCCTTGGTGATCTGTCGCCGTATTCTCTCTCTCCCCCCCTTATCCTCATCCGACATCCACTCTTGGGGCCGGTTTACGGTTGAAAGGGGGTGGATTTGTTCCTCCCTTCTCCTCAACCTATCTGCTGCCTGGGCAGGAATTCCCGACGACGCTGTCACCGCCGCTCCCCCTTTCCTCTTGCTGGGTCTCGTTGCCCCTGCATGCTTTGGCACCCTATGGACATCTTGGCGCGTTCTCGGGGCCCTTCCTCTTGCCAATAGTGGAAGGGGAGGTGCAGTTTGAGGGGGAGGGGATGGTAGGTCCACCATCCTCCTGACAGCCTCCTCCTCGGAGGAGTCCACATCCCCCTCCCTGCTCCTACTCCTTCCCCCGCGCCAGAGTCGGTGGCGCTCTCTTCTCCTTTTTCTCCGACCCCGGCCTTCCGCCTGCCGGCGAATCTCCTCCGCGACCTCCTTCTGCGATATTACAGCCTCGCAGAAAGAGGCGAATATATCTCATTTTCTCTTACTTCCCACTATAGCCCGAACAATTGTGAGGAGCGAGAGGTCACGCCCTATCTCCCTGATCACGACTCCGCGCTCTGCGCTCCAGGCAGGGTAATCCTGGAGCGTGTGCTGCGCGGAGTCGTTGCCGCAATGGTGGCACTGCGTTGTGCGCTCTTTTCCTATTTGACACAGGTACTTACCGAAACATCCGTATCCGGTTAGCACCTGTGCCATCCTGAACGTTAAGATCCCGAAGTCCCTGCCCACCCATTCCTCCAGGCAGGGCTGGACGGCCTCGACAGTCCTCCTCCCATATTTGGTTCCTGCCAGAATCCTCTGCCATCTTTGGAGGAGGAGCTGCCGAGCCTGGTGCTTCATCCTTCGTAAGGCTCCGGCGAGCGATTCACGCACTCCTCCCCCCCTATGAAGGAGCTCCCGCTTCCTGACATACATTGTCCTGTACATCAGGGCCAGGAGCTCCCGGGGAGGGGGCATGCCCGCCAGATCCGTCGCCGCCATGTGAGATACCGTTCGGTAACATCTCGCAACCCTGACCGTCAGCGCCCTGTGTGCTTTGCGCAGTTGCGTTTGCATAGGGCGACTGACGGCCAGAGCCTGGGTCCAAATCGGCGCTCCGTAGAGCGCCACCGAGTTTAGCACTCCCGCGTGGAGGCGACGAGCCTTCCATCCCGGTCCTCCGACATTGAGCATTAACCTGCCCATGAGGAACCTTCATTTTTTTTGTTGCGATGTGGGAAATCCATCATGGATCCCCCCCACCCCCGAGGAGGATGTGCCAGACTCCTACCGACTAAAACCCACACCGGGTGACTACGAAGGGACCTGAGTCGGGGGCTCGGGGCCACTGTGACTGCTTATCGGCCTCGCGGATCCAGATGTTCATCACCTTGTCCCCGGGGAATGGGAAGAGAGGGGGGAAGCGATCCCGAAAGAGCTCGCAAGCCCAGGGGTCATCTTCGACCACCGCTCTCCCACCCCCTGCTCCATCCAACTGGAAAGGGGGAAGCACACGATGCCCGCCTCAAGTGGCTGGGCACCGCTGACCACGTGAAGGCCCACTTCAACCACCGTTCCCAGTGGACGGGATGTCGTCCTAATGTTGTTTGGCGACTAGGTGGGTCACCACCACCTAGCCGCCCCAGCAGTTGCGGGGAAATTAATTCCCCTAGCCGCTGGGGACTCCCACCTGAAAGAGTGTGCAATGGAGCCCCAAGACAAGGCTCCACTCTCTCAGGCAAGAGAGGGGATAGGGGGGTACTGATCAATGACTTGATCGTCATCATGCTCCCCCCTCCCCCTTCCTACACTTTCAATCCCTTAATTGGGGTTGAAATAATGGGCCGTTGGGGGCGATTGCAAGTCCGCCTCTTGGCCCATTGTGCCGGCTAATTAGTAGCCGGCGCTAAATCGGACAAGAGGGTGGAACTGTCTCCCCGCCTATCCTCCTTCCCTCTAATTGACGTGCCCATCCGTTTACGTCAATTAGATGGGCACGTTAAATCCTTTCCTATCTCGCTCCCCTCCTTTGCAGATTGTATTCGGAGGGGAGGGGTTGGGGTGACATTGTCACCACCACGATCTCCCTCGTTGGAGGGACAGCCGCGACGACGCCCTGAGCGTCCATTACCGTCCCCCTATATTGCGAGCCAGCAGGATGGCTCAGCTATCCTGTGGCTCGCATTTCTCCCCGCTTCTTGGCACACCGCGCATCTCGGCCATTCCTCTTCACATAGCCGTGCGGTGTGCCCTTCCAGGCCACACCGGTAACAATGTCCGCTGCGGTCAATCACAGCGGAGCAGTTGTACCGGGTGTGACCGGTACCCCAACATTTGTAGCATTGAGGCGGTCTAGCCGCCAGCAGTACAACTCTAACTGCTGACCACCCCAACGCAAACACTCCCTTTTTTGCGGCCGAGATCGCTGCCACCAGGGGCAGTCGTGCCCAGGCTACCCCTCTTCCTCTGGCTCCCCATTTCAGCGGTCCTACTTGGACCATTTCTTTCCTGCATCCCGCGGTTTGCACCCCTACCTCTCTCCTTGCAGGCAGAGATGTTATCATCCCCGCTTGCACCTCGGCTTCCTTCTCAGGTATGCCCTGCTGCGTGGCAGCATTCTCCCCCTGACATTCCGTCTGCACCATCGCATCTACTCCTTGCTTCTCCTTCCGGATTTTCTCCTTCTCCCTATCCCATAGCGCTTTCATCTCTACTACCTTTTCCATTTCCTTATCCAAGGCTTTCCTCAATTCCCTTTTTTCCTCCTCCAACTCCCTTACCTTTCTTTCCAACCTCCTATTATCATCACGTCCTTCCCTTATTACCTTTCCCAATGTCTCAAACCTATCCACGTCCTTCTTTATATCCTCTCCCTGAGCCTCTCCTCTTCCTCTTCGCTTTCCTTTGCCAAGGCTTCCTTTTCTTCCTTCATCTTTAGCAGCTCCTCTTCTGCCTGTCGGGCTTTCACCTTATACCAGGCACTCCTTCTGTGGAGTTCCCTGCTGAATGTCACCAACCTTTTAGCAAATCCCTTCGCACCATCAAAGACCTCCAGCAATTTAAGCTTTTTCTCACTACTCAGGGTTTTACCACTCTCGCAGTCCAAGATATTTTCATCTATGTACTGCTCCCACGTAACTCATATCTCATTAGAGTATGGGAGATCATCATGGATATCCAGGTCCTTGATGTCCTTGGCCCTCACAGATACTCGCATTTCTGAGGCCTCCTTCTTCACCATCTCATGAAATGAAGTCTCCTTACAGGCTTCCGATGTACTGGAAGAGCCCTCCTCCTCACCTCCCTCCATCTTTTGTTTTTTAAGAGTTGCCATTTCTCAATAGATCTTACGATCCCCCAGCGGCTCGACCGGCCGAGCGTGCCCGCTCCGCCGAAAACATGACCCGGCGGTGTCCCCGAGTTCCCCCAGGGAGCCGGTCTATGCTACGGGCCCAGGGAGAGGCATCCTAGGCACTGAGCTTCGAGCCCCCTACTCTCGCCCAGACCCCCATTACTGGAGGCCTGACCGGTTTCGGGGGTCCCCGGCCTCCAACGTCTGGGGCACCGCTGGGGGCGCAGCCACGCGGGGGGCCCCGTGGAAGGAGGTAAGTCATCGGTGTCGCTACCCACCAGGACCCCTCCCTCACAGCGGCCAGCGTGATCCTCCGACCAGGGAGTGACTTTACGGTGTAGCAATCGTCACCGCCTGGGCTCACCCCGAGGGGCTCCGGCCCCGATCTCGGAATACGTCCGAGCGGCCCGGAGCCCCCTCGTCACCCCGGGTCCCGTGGGGGTTCCAAACCCGTGCAGACCCGAGTGTGGCTCGTCCCCTTCGGCTGCCGGAGCACCAGCGTGCATTGCCTCCAAGGGTGAATAACGCCTCCCACCTGCCCCGAGCGGCCTCCCTGGAAACTCTAGGTCGACTTCCTTCCTAGGTTCGCCGCCCTTAGTCTGGCCCCTCCATACGGACCACTCCGGCATGGTAGAACCTGCCAGGGGCCGAAGCCCCCGCCGGCACATCTGTACATCATCGAGACACGCAAGCTCCCCCACCACGGCAAGGTGGCGTTCATGGGGGAGAAAAGATGTATTGGGGTCCCCGAAGGGAACCCCACAGACCCCCCTGGTGAGGAACTGGGGGGGGGGACTACCTAACCGACCCTAGAGCCAGTCCCCCTTCCCAGGCCTCCCTGCACAGAGTGTATCACAAAATCACCCTGCCTGGGTCACACCCCGGGTCGGGGCTATCCCCACCCAACGCTAGGGAGGGATGGTCCCTCTCAAAGAGGGTCGGCCCATCCTCCCGGCTCCCAGGGGTCCTATCGGGCACCTCCCCGCTCGATGAGCCACCGGTGAGGGGCTTCGATTCAGCCCTGCCCGTCGGCAGTCCCATAGAGCCTGGGGTGGGTGAGTGTTGGAGGAGTCCTCACTCCCGGACTCAACCCCCCACTCATCCCACCCCTCCTCCGCCAAGAGGGAATTCGCAACCTCAACCTCCATTGAGTGGGCCTCCTCTAATTTGTCCTTCTCAGGCCTAGGCTCCGGAACAGGGGGAGGGGCCGATCCTTCCCCCACACCCAGTCCTACCTTGCTGGCAGGCGGCGGATATACCCCCTTTCCCCCATCCCCTTCTGCGCGGTCGATGCCGTGCTTCTTCTTTTAGCGGCCTCGTCGGGAGGCCGGGGTCCCGTCCTCCGGACGAGCCGCTCCAACCCCAGGCGCCTTCTTCTTTGCCCGATGGCGCCGGGATTTGCCACCTACTGTGGTAGCGCTGACCCTTCCCGGGACCGCCCAACAGGATTTGCCTCCCATCCTATGGTGGGGACTCCTTCCTACCACCTCTCAGGGGATGCACCTTGGTGGCAAGGCGCAATCCCGCGCAATGTGGCCCACCCCTCCGCACCTGAAGCAGTTTCCTCCGAGCCTCTCCGCCCGGTAGAAAACTGCCAGGTGCCAATAGTTAAGGCACTTGTAACACTGTGTGGGGCGGTCCCCAATCGGCCCAGCCCACCTTCAGCCCTTTGGCTGCTACTAACTTGCGGGCTGTCTCCGTCGGGCATCGGACCCACGTCGCGTCTATCCCGCCGGCAGACATCCCTATCTTTCCGATCTGGATGTCCACCAGCGGGCATCCCCCCCGACCCGAATCACTTCCACTACACTCAATGGGTTGGCCGAATCATCCAGGCCGACAATTCGGAGCTCTGTCCTCTTTTCCGGCCCGGCGACCTTGGCCACCCCGCAGAGTGCGTCCTCGAGGTCCCTGGCGAAGCGATCAGCCTTCTGCCGACCGTGCCAGCCAGGGATCTCGTGGATCATCCACCCCCCATTCTAGCGCGTTTCATTTTAAACCCTCCCGAAGCAAGCCCAATTTCCGAGAGGTCCACCTTATCGCGCGCTTGGCGCATCACCTTTTCTATGGATTTCCCTGGTAACGCAGTCACTGCGACTGCTGGATTGCGCGGGGGAGCCCTGATGGCTGGAGGCTTGGGAAGAAGGGGTCCCTTCTTCGGGGCCCTCCCTTCCCCAGCCTTCCCTCCCTTAGTGGGAGAGGGTGCCGCCTTAGCGGTATCCCTTCCCTTTTTAGGTGGAGGAGCACCCTTCTTGGATGTTTCTCCCCCTTTCACCGTTTGCTTTGGGGGCTTGGTCCCCTACCCTTTGTTATCGGGCGGGCCAGTTGGGGCTCCACCCGCTCGCAGCTGCGGCTGCTGGAGAAGCGAGCTTTTCCAGCAGTCACCCCATGCGGGCGATTTCAGACTTAAGGCCGCGGACTTGTTCTTCCACGGTCGCAGGCCTTTCATTGAGCCCCCCCTGACCCGCCATCTCCTTAAATTGTACCAGCGCCTCCTCGATGTCTTCCAGGTAATGGAAGTTTGTACCATTAAGGGTGACCAATGGCTTCCCCAGGTACTTATCTCCCGATCGTCTACCCGGTTCTACCCTGAGTTCCCTCAGGTAAGGAATCCCGTCGATAGCCTCCTGGATAGCTCCCGGCGAGGGTCTAAAAGGCCTACGTGCACGCGGGATGCCCCATTGTGGGCGCTTGTCCGCCTCCGTCTGAGGAGAAGGAAGAGAGATTTCCTTCCTCCCACCCTCACGCCCGCGTTTTGGCTACGTCCTCTCTAAGGGGATTCCATCCTCCTCTGCCGGAGGAAAATCCTCCCCATCTGAGAGGGAAGATCTTCCTCCACATTTGAGTAGGCGTGGGACACTCCCATGCCCCCGCCCCTTCTTCACGCCGGTGTTCGCGCGTAGTGTCCATCCCCCCGTCTGGGGATCATATCTGCCACCCAGCGTCAGGAAATGTACTTCTCGGTCCGTCCACAGCGTTGTGGCGGTCTCCTCCTCTCTCTCTCTCTTCCTCCTCTTGTGCGCCTTCGGATCAACCGAGACCGAGGACAAGCCGAGTCGACTCGTACTCGGCCTCAATCGGTCCTCTAGCGCATCCCTACGGGACGGTAGCCAATTCAGGTGGCGCGCCCGCCTGGCACGCGCCACCCAGCTCATTGCTTGATTCCGCACAGTGCGCCGACAAGGGGGTGCTGGGACAACACAACACCTCCCGCCGGTTTCCAGCTCCGAGTACTGGGCAGAATTGCTCCTTGTCTGACATTACTCATGATGTGTAGGGGTTTTACGTGCCCCTACAACACGGGTTTGATTTCGGAGTTTTCCTTCCCCTAGACCGGTTGCCTTCACCAGGCTAACGAGCCCGCTCTGCCCGCGCTGTGAGCCTCACGAATGAGATTTTCCAGACCCTGGATAAAACCTGGAGGCAGCTGCCCATCCAGGAGTATTATGGACGCTCTTATTCTGGCCCCTCCGTACAGACCACTCCGGCATGGTAGAACCTGCCAGGGGTCGAAACCCGCCGGCACAGCTCTGTACATCATCGGGACACACAAGCTCCCCCACCACGACAAGGTGGCGTCCACGGGGGAGAATAGTGGGGACCCCGAGCCAGGGCCCCCCTTTACCCCCCTGCCGGTGAGGAACCGACGGGAGGTACCTACCTCGCCGGTCCCTGAAGGGGGCTGGCCATCCCTCCCCGGGGGTATCCCCGCAGCGACACCACAGCCGCCACAGATCTCCCCTCCGGATTGGGGCTATCCCTAACCTAATGCGGTAGTTCCCCTTGACAGGGGTCGGCCCGCCTCTCACTGCTCCATTTTGGGCTGCAGTCTTTTATCGCGGTGAGTGTCCCGGCAAGAAGCTACTCTCGTCTCGACTGCCCACCGCGACAGACCGCACATCCCACCGCGACAGACCGCTCTAGCCCTTATGCTCGGGGTGTCCCGGAAGGGAGCCTTAATTGACTCCGGCTGCCAGGCACATCTCCGGGCTTGGGATGATCTGAGCGAGCGGTAGGCAGCTTACTGCTCCTCCGCCCATTCATCCCATCCCGCCTCCTGTATGAAGGAACAAGTCGCTTCAATCTCGCCCGTTGCGTCCTCTTGGACCTCCATCGGTTGAGTCAGTGGAGGTTCCGGGTCAGGAAGAGCAGCCGGTGCTACTTCCTTAACCGGCCCTGCCTTTGGTGGCGCTGATGGCACCTTCGCTATTGGAGGTGGTGGAGGAGAGGGCATTTCCCCTCCTGCTTCCTCTGTTGTTCCTTTTCCGGTCTTCGCGCAGGAGGCGGAGGCCTCCCACTTTCCACGCAAGCAACCCCCCTCCCCTCTACGCGAAGCACGATAGCTCAGTTTTCGGCGTTGTCGCCGTTGTCGCCGCGGTTTCCTACCGTTGGCAGCCCGGGGGACCGCCGTACATGCCTTGCCTCCCATACGGTGGGCAGGATTCTTACCTAAACTGTCGTACAGGGTGCACCGCGGTTCCACGGTGCAACCCCGCGCGACGTGATCAGACCCCCGCACCTGAAACATCTGCTACCTCTGGGGTGTTCTGCCCGGCAGTCCACCGCCATGTGGCCGAAGTCCAGGCATCGATAGCACTGAGTGGGTCTGTCTCCTAGTAGGCGGACAGCGACCCTTGTCCAGCCTATTTGCAACCCCCGGGCTGCCACCAACGTATGTGCCGCCTCCATGGGGCAGCGAACCCATATCGCGTCAAGTCCTCCGGAGGACTGCCTAACCTCACCGGTCTGGATGTCCTCCGGAGGACATTTGGCTATAGAACTAATCGCCCCCTTACCGCCCCCTTGGTTACGCTGTCATCCAGGCCGACGATTCGGACCTCGGCCTTCTTCGTCGGCCTGGTGACGACAGCGTCCCCAGCTAGGGCGTCCTCAAGATCACGAGCGAAGCGGTCGGCTCTCGCCCTAGCGCCAACGCCCGTAATCTCGAGTATTATCCCGCCATTGCGGGCTCTCTTGTATTTAAAGTCCCCGGGGGCTAGGCCGTGCTCTCCGAGGACTACCCTGGCCTTGGCAGTGGTCAAGACCTAAGCCGAGGTCTTCCCCGGCAGCGCAGTGATCGTAATCACCGGGTTGCGCGGGGGAGGCCTCAGCTTCAGCTTTTGGGCGGGCAGAGGCCCCACAGACGGGAGTTCCTTCCGCCCATTCTTCTCTTTGGGGGGAGCCGCCTTGGTGATGCCCGCATATGTTGGCGCGGTCACGGACTTGTTCGCGGTCGCGGATTTACGCGCGGATCCCGTCTTCGTGGGTTTCGCGATCACGGTCTTTTCCCCTCCCTTCGGTGTCAGTTGCGGCTTTCCGGGTTCCGCACCAGACCCTCCCCCCTTACCCCTACCTTTCTTCTTGCGGTTGGACACGGTCGTCCAAACGCTACTCTTCCCCACAGGCTGCGCCTGCTGAACATTCGAAGGGTTGAGCCCTGGACCTGCCGCTGCGGATACCGGAGGGACTCGTCCCTCCAGTATCCGCCCAAGGCGGGCGATCTCCGCCTTGAGGCCACGGATCTATATCTCCATGGCCGCAAGGCGGACATCAGGTCCCCCTTCGAGGCCATAGCGACCAGCTCGTCCAGGGATTCCTCGATATCATCCAGGCCTCGTCCCGCCTCACCGAGCTGGTCGATGGCCACTCCGTCGTAGAAGGCATCAGCCCCCTCCTCTACGTTTACCCGGGAGTACTCTGAGATCCCTAAGGATCTTGATCCGGTACGCGTAATCCGCGATGTGCTCGGCATTTCTGGGTTTTTCCACCGGTGGAATCCCCCATTGCCGCTGAATCCCTTTACTCATCGGATTGCGACGAGGACACTCGTCGCGCTCACGAACGGGTTCATCCCCTCCCCCCGAAAAGGCGTCAACGCCTCCCGGAAGAGAAGGATAAACCTCCCCCTCCCCTCGTGACCGAGTGGAAGCCGATACTTCCACTCGCCTCCTTTTCCTCATATCCGCTGAGGGAATAGACGCCGAGTCAAAGTGACTCGGTCCCACTCTCCCGCCGGACACGTCCCTCCGGGCGGTAGTCCTATTGGGCGACATGCCTGCCTGGCACACGTCGCCCAGCCCGTCGCATGCTGACGACGAGGAGGAGCCAGGACTGTAAACTCTCTCACGCCGTTTTCCGGCTCCGATTACCGGGAGGGTTTCACCTTTATCTGTCATACCTCCATAGAATGTGGGGATGGGAGTGCCCCCCACACACGGGTTTGATTTCGGGGCTTTCTTTCCACTAGACCGGTTGCCTTCACCAGGCTAACGAGCCCGCTCTGCCCGCGCTGTAGAGTCCTTTGAGCCTCACGAATGAGACCCTATAGACCCTGGTTAAAACCTGGAGGCAGCTGCCCATCCAGGAGTATTATGGACGCTCTTAGTCTGGCCCCTTCGTACAGACCACCTCGGCATGGTAGAACCTGCCAGGGGTCGAAACCCCCGCCGGCACAGCTCTGCACATCATCGGGACACGCAAGTTCCCTCACCACGGCAAGGTGGCGTCCACGGGGGAGACCTTCATATTATTTTCTTTTATTTTTTTTTACGAAGAGGAAATCCATCATGGATACCCTGACCCTCGGGGAAGGGCCAGGATTATGCCGGACACCCACCGGCTAAAACCTCCCCGGGTGGCGCTGCGAAGGGACTTGAGTCGGGACCCCGGAGCCGTACTGCTAATCGGGGTCCCGAGTCCAAACGTCGACCGTTGTCGATTCCCCGAGGGGAAGGGGGAAGGGGGAAGCGATCCGAAGCTCATCTTCAACCACCGCTCCCCCTCCACCCCTCACGCCCCGTCTCCAAGGCCAGGAAGGGGGAAACCGGCCAAGGCCCGCTTCAACCTCCGTTCCTGGCCAGACGGAGCGCCGCCAGTATAATGCTGTGCGATCGACTGATCCAGCTTCTCAGTCGGCCGCTCTACGTGTGGAGGGCCGGCTGGGGCACCAGGAATCCCCGCCCGATGCCCCACCCTCCCGCCCGGCGGTTACGGGGGGAAATAATCCCCTAGCCGCCGGGCGCTCCCACTTCCAGAGGAGAAATAGGAGAGGTCTCAATGATCCCTTCCTGTATGCCCACCCTAACGGTGGACCTTGCAGAGGGGAGGAGAGGTGTTTTAACCAGTGGCAACGCCACCGACACTCTCTCCCCCTCTTATTGTCATCCGGCTCCCACATTGGGAACCGGAGGACTACGGCTGGAGGACAGATGTCCTGTCCCCCTCCTTGTCTCTCTGACTGCCGGTAACGTGGCAGAGGGCGGTGACAACCAGAGTATCACCGCCCTACCTCCCGTGAGCCGTTGTCTCTTCGCCCCCAAGATGCTCGCCCTGTGAGGGACATCGCATCTTTTGGGGGCCCTTCCCCTAACTTGTACAGGGGGAGGAGCAGATCGGGGAGAGGGAGGCGGCTGGGGCTGTTGTCTCAGTGCCTCCCTCAGTGCCTCTTCCTCAGAGGAACCCACCCCGTCCCTGCTTCTACTCCTACTGCCTTCCCACTCCCTGTGGCGTTTTCTCCTCCTGTCCTCTCACCCTCCCTTCCGCCTGCCGGCGGGTTTCCTCCGCTGCCTCCTTCTGCAGCATCACCGCCTCACAGAATGAAGCAAAGATTCCCCAGTTCCTCTCACTCTCCAACATCGACCTCACAACTGTTGGGAGTGAGAAGTCCCGACCTAACTCCCTGACCACGACTTCGCGCTCCTCTACCCAAGCTGGGCAGTCTTGCACTGTGTTGCGCGGAGTCGTGGCCATAGTCACAATGGTGACATTTCGCCGTGGGCTCTTTCCCTATGCGACACAGGTACTCACCGAAGCATCCATGCCCGATGAATACCTGTGTCAACCTGTACGTCAACGTCCCGAAATCCCTGCCTACCCACTCGTGTAGGCAGGGCTGGACAGCCTCGACGACCCTCCTCCCGTATTTGGCATGTGCCAGCATCCTTTTCCATCTGTGGAGAAGGGCCTGCCGAGTTTGGTGCTTCATTTATCTTATGGCTCCGGCGAGTGCCTCGCTTTCCTTTATCCGCCCTTGGAGCTCCTTCTTCACAAAGTACATTCTCCTGTGCATCAATGCCTGGAGCTCCAGGGGAGGCATGCTCGCCAGAGCCGTCGCCGCCATGTAGGGTATCGTCTTGTAATCCCTGATTACCCTGGCCTCCAATATTCTGTCCGCCTTGCGCAACTGCGTACGCAGACGGCGATTGACAACCAGGGCCTCAGCCCATATTGGCGCCCCATATAACGCAACCGAGTTCAAAACTCCCACGTGGAGGCGACGGGCGTTTTAACCAGGTCTCCCGATGTTGGGCATAAGTCTGCCCAATTTTTCCGACAGTACCTTGACTCGGGGGACCAGGTGGTTCATGTGTATTCTTTGAAGCACCAAGTGCTGTCTAGGACGAGGCCCAGACATTTCATCTGGGCCTCTATCGGGTCCTTGTGCGTTCCTACTCTAATCTAGGCCTGGGATGGCTTGACTCCCTTGCCATGGAGAAAGATGGCTTCTGTCTTCTCCGCTACCACCAGGCCCAGATCCCTAATAGAGCCCACGGCGATTGCCACCGCCAAATTCGCCATATTCACGGCGTCCCTCCAGTCTCTCCCCCCGGCCAGAATGAGCGTGTCATCCGCGTAACATATGATGTTACAGCTGGGGGGAGGGCAGCACGGAGGATTACGTCATACCCGAGGTTCCACAGGAGCGGGCCCAACACGGACCCCTGTGAAACCCCGCAGTACATCCCCCTCTCACGTACCCTGCCGTCGGCGTCAGTCCAGCTGAGACGCCGACCCCGGAAGTAGTCCTCAATGACAGCCGTGAGGTAAGGTGGGAAGCCGAAGTGCGTACACATAGCCTCCACCACCTTACCCCAGGGCAGGGTGTTGAAAGCGTTGGCCATGTCTAACAACACCGCCACCGCCCTGCCCTCCTCCACAATAGCCTCCGAGAGAAGTCTAAGACGCTCAATCGCATCTATTGTCGATTTCCCCTCTCGGAAGCCAAACTGGCCGTCACTGAGGTCCGGACCCTGCCGGGACATATGTTCCTTGAGGCGGGCTGCGATTATCCTCTCAAAGACTTTGCCCACCTCGTCAAGGAGACATATGGGCCGGTACGAGGAGGGGGGACCCTCCGGCTTGTCCTCTTTATGGAGGAAGACCACATTGGCCCTCCCCCAGACTGGAGGGAATTTCCTTTTCCTTAAGGCTCTCGTAAACAGATTCGAGAGCCTTTCACATATATACCCCGAGGCCAGGGTAAGGACTCGGCCGGGGATGCCATCGGGTCCGGGAGCTTTGTTGCTCTTGACTCCTATGATGGCCCCGGCTACCTCCTCCTCGGTGATTCCCGGTACCTCCCCCTGTTTTTCAAGGGTAGGGATCCTATGCGGGATCATAGGAAGTCCCTCCCGAAACGGGAAAAAAGCCCCCATGACCCGCTCGAGGAACTGGGGATCCAACGTCACCGTCAGCGGGGGCGTCCATGGTTTGAGTTTTTTCATGACCATCCTGTATGGACGCCACCACGGATCCGCATTCAACGAGAGAAGGAGGGTGTCCCATCCTCTTCCCTTGTCCGCCCCTATCGCTTCCCGCAGTGTAATTGCGGCTCTGCAAAACTCAATACGGGCGGCCAGGGTGGCCTCAGAATTCTGGTCCGGATCATTCCGGAGTCTTCTGAAGGTCCGCCTGAGGTGGACCGTCCTCTGCCTTAATTGGGCTATATGGTCAGTCCACCACCAGGCGGACCTTTTTGGACAGGACCTGACTCTGGGCATGGACTCACTGCACGCGTGTGCAACGATCTCCATAAAATCCGATACCACAGAGACAAGGTCCTGCCCTTCCTCTTCTCGTGGCCAGGTGGCAATCTCTAGAAACAATTCTAGAGTTACTCTATCTAGTCTGCTCAAGGCCCACCTTCCTGGTCGGGGTTCATCCTTACTTTGTGGCCGCAGGCCATTGGGGGCGACGGACAACTCCATTTCAATCAGAAGGTGATCTGATATGAATTCCAGGTTGTCCGCCATCCTCCAGGACAGCACCAGTTTTACGGCCGCCCCTGCGTACCAAGTGGCAAGTGAAGTCTGTCTATTATAGACTCCCCCTGCGACCCCACAAACGTATATTTGTTCCCCTCGTTTATCAGGTGCAAGTCCAGGCCCGCGGCCCATTCTTCCACTACTTCCCCCCGCCTGTCACCCCGCCGGGAACCCCACAGTGACGACTTCGCGTTAAAGTCCCCGGCGATGATGACAGGCCCAGGGAGGTACCATAATATCATTAAGCCTGGACCCATAACTAGGTAGGCCCAGGCTCTTTGCTGGGGGAAGGTAGACCCCGACTACAGTCAGGCCCCCCACCTGACCACGACAAAGTACCTCCCACTTTCCAATAAGTCAGCGGGAGGCGAATTCTCATTCGCCCTCCAAACTATGGCGACGGAGCCCAATTAGTCCCCGAACCATCTGGGATGGTTTTTGGGGACTTTATAGGGCTCCACCGCTACTCCTAAGCCTGCACCGCACTCGGCCATGGTGTGCTCAAAAAGAGAAATCGCCTGCCGAGCGCGGTGCAAGTTTGATTGAAGGAGTCTAGTAGCCATTATGATGACTGAATAACAAGCTTTTCAGCCGGCTCCTTCGCTCTTTCGCTTCCACTGTCCGTACAGGACGTACCCGTTTCTCCGCCCTTCTCTCCACCTTCATCTCCTCCCCCTCCGGTTGAGTATTGGCAGGAGTGGGAGGTTATGCAGATGGAGGAGGAGGAGAAGGGGTTTCCCTTTCCCCTTTCACTTCCTTTTCCGTCAGTGGTGGGGCTACAGGTTCAGACGGCGTCGATGCGGATACCTCAAGTGCTTGCTGTTCCCCTTTCCTTCTTTTCCCCTTTAGCGGGTGACAGGCTGGACCACCCATTCTGTGCCCAGAGGGCTGCCCCGCCTCCGCACATATCTGACACCTGGCGGGGGCGGTGCATTCTCCGACCAGATGGCCCAGCTCATCACATCTATAGCAATTCCCTCGCCTGTCAAGCTTGCTCTTGCAATTCTGCTGGACATGGCCCCTTTCTAAGCACTTGTAGCATTGGAAGGGCCTTGCGTCCAGCAATTCTAACCCTAGTCTATCCTACAGGTATCTGCCCCTTCTCAGCGACTCTTTTCGCCGCCATAAGGGGGCATCTTACCCATAAGGACCTTACCCATAAGGACCTTAATCCGGCCGCAGTGGTCCTAATCCTTCCCGTTTGGACCTCCGCAGCTGAACATCCTCCTTCCTTGGCAATTCAATCCGCTGCCTCTTCCTCAGTGGTGGAGACTTCGAGACCTCGGAGTTTAATCTCTCCAAGCTTCCGGGGGCGATTCACCCTCGCCTTATCTTCTAGCACCTCTCTCAATTTCGCGGAAAGGAGATCAGCTTTGGTATCCTTATCTTCTCCGGGGATCTCTAATATCAGGGCCCCTATGGCCCCCTGCCTCGTCCTGACCTTCGTGATCTCCATGTTGTTAATGTTTATTTTCTTTTTGGCTTCAGCCAAGACCTCCTTATACTTGCCATCTTTGGTGGTGATTGACACTGCCGCCGTACTTGGGACCTTGCGTCTGGGTTTTCTGGGTTTCTTCTTGCCCGTTCCAGTCGTTTCCATTTCCTTCCCGGATTCAATTCCCTTTTTCCTATCCTCCTCCTTTTTCTCCTTGGGCTTTTTGTTGCGTCTCGCAACCTGAGCCCAAGTTTCCTGACCTCTCGTTTCTGTTCTTTTTTCCTGGGGAGGGGGCTGGGGTTCCTCAATCAAAGAAGGAGGGACTCGGAGCTGGGGCCACTGCTCCTTCCTTCCCATTGGTCCCCATTTCCCCTGTCCAGAACTTGCTGTTGCCTTCTTTCCCTTCTTTGTCTTCCTCTGACTGTTTCCCTCTTGAGCATCATTGTTGGATGTTGGGTGCGCTTTATCCTTCTGCGATGCCCATGTCTCCATTGCCTTATGAACCATGGAGGTTATTCTATCCTCCATGGTTTCTTCCTTAGTTTGCCCTGGCATGGCTATTTTTTCAAGCCTGACCTTAACGTCTAACGAGACAATTTTCCTTATCGTCGGGCCAGGTTTGTTACCTTTCCCGGACACTTCTCCTTTTCTATACTGTACAGAATGGGTCTTGTCTTGTTTGATCTATCCTTTCTGCAGATCATCTATGCATCCCACTGGATTAATTTCCCCCTCCTCTAGATCCGCCGACGGAGGCATGATGCACCTGTTCCTATACCCCATTGTCCTCTCCTTTTCCCTGACTAGCACCGCGGGCGAGGAAGCTATCGTCGTTGACGACGATGCCCCCTTTATACCGCGTTGCTTGTTATCCTGTGACGGAGGCGGGGAGGATACCACCATTGATGGCGGTGCCTCCCTTAAACTCCGTAAACTCCTTCCTTGCACCGAAGGCGAGGGGGATATCTCCTTTGAAGGAGATGCCTCCTTTATACTCCTGAGTGCCTTCTCCATTTCCTCCATCATTTTTGCCATTTCACCCTGCATGGTGCGGAGCTGCATGTTCTCTGCTCTCAGCTCCTCCAGGATGTCTTGGTTCTCCCCAAATTCGCTTGAGGCCATGCGCTGTGCCATCAAAGTGTTACCTGCTGTAATGGCCGCAGAAGCGTCACGAAGTACCTTGACGTGGGTGTCTCTCAGGTTCTTTGAGCGAATTGAAAAGCCCAGTACTTTTGTTGCTGCCTCCAAAACCGAGGCAGTAATATCGCTGAACGGGCCTCCTTCATATGCTCCGTAACACGTTGCAATTCTGCTCGGTATTTACGGTTACTGGAGCAATCCTGATATTCCTTATTCGGATCTTCCAGGCCCTTCAGTAAAGCCTCCTTCCTCTTCTTCTGTTCGAAGATCTTCCTTTGAGCTTGAAAGGCTATCTTCCTTCTATATTGCCCCGTCGTTTCGGGCCTTCCTCGTGGTCTCAGCTTTTTCGTAAAGGCCTCCTCATCTACCTCCCCGTTAGATTTTCTGAGAATTTCCCATCTATCATTCTCCTCAGAGGAGCTGTAATCCTCTTCAGAGGAAGACCCAATCCTCCTCTTATTACTGGGCGTCCCCGACCTCAGTTTATATTTTGGAGTCTCCGCAGATTCCTTGTCGCAACTGCTGGCGCTCCGAAGTCCCCCTCACCTTCCTTGGCGACTCGGACCCGGTTGGTCATCCACGGCCATTTCCACGTCCGTGTCTCCCACCTCCATTCCAGCGGGACCACCATGGGTCCCCACTTCTCGTGTGCCCATTTGCCTTGCCAGGGTCTGATTGCCGTGGTCCGTATCCGTGAGGTCGATTAGTTTAAAGGAATAATCACTCATTTTCGGTTTAAAACCCACAACTCAGTGCAGCTCCGCTACCCGGGCATGCTCGCATCCCCCCCGGAAA